AGCCGAAAGCTCGTTACATGGGTTAAAGATGCATGGTGTTTTAAGTTATATGTATATATATATAAAAAAGAAAAAAAAAGACAAAAATAATAATCCCAATCTAAGAAAGTTAACCTTGAACATTAGAACAAAAATTTTGTTTTCTTCCAAGAAAAGCACCATAATTATGTGTTGATACATTGAGCACAAAAGAAAGGTTTATTAATATCTTGTTAAGAGGTATTGAGCAGATATATAAATTTAATGAGAGTTTGTTTATCTGGATAGATTAATGGAAGTTAAATGATGAATACCTTGCTTTGTGTTTCTCTTATTATGTCTAGCTAAGTTAATTATGTCAAGGTGAAAAGGTTACACTAATGGTGTAAGAATAAGTATAATGTAAACTTAATATGAACTTTAATGTTTGATACTAACATGTTTTATACTTGTTATCTTGTTCACTCTTTAATACTTTACTTGTTAAATTTGATACTAACATGTTTTGTATTTGTTATCTTGTTCACTCTTTAATACTTTACTTGTTAAATAACTAATCTTGATTTATGTTGTATAACACTTGGTACAACAAATGCTTGGCACTTTCATAGTTCATACTGTATGGTATAACCGACACCTGAGTTATGAAAGGAACTTGATTTGTTGTTAACATAAGTTATAATCATGAATTCTTGACGAGATTTACAAGTATTAGCATTAATCGAATAAGATGACTAATGTAATCATGTTAACAATCTATAATCTGATTGGAACCTTCTTTATGTGTGGTTTCCAATTTAATAATAAGAGTTTATATTATACTTGTTTGACATATCATTAGTGGAATCTCTAACCTTGACATTTGTTATTATCATTGTTTAATCGTTACATTAATATTCCTTCTCAAAGTTCTCATCTTCTTCTCCTTCTTCTCCTTCTTTTTCTTTATTATTATTATTATTATTACTATTAGTATTACTACTACTACTACTACTACTACTATTATTGTTATTGTTATTGTTATTGTTATTGTTATTATTGTTGTTATTGTTATTGTTATTGTTGTTGTATTATTGTTATTTATAATTTGTACAAACCTTTTCCCTCCATATAAAAGTTGTAGGCCTATGCCTTACCTTTCCATCCATATAAATTGGACCTAAATTTAACCTCCTTGTGGTTCGATCCCGGTCTTGCCGGGTTATTTATTACTTCGACACTCCTGCACTTGGGAGAAGACAACAATCTTTTAGTTGTGTCAATAACACTTGGTACAACAAATGCTTGGCACTTTCATAGC